GAATGTCTGTCAGACATCAAGTCCGGGATGAGAGCTAATTTTCTTCAGTTGAACATCAACGAGATCGAGGCTCTTCTGATTGGCTCCCGTCAGCGCCTCCTCACCTCAGGCGCTGACGGTAGTATCACCATCCATGGCTGCACACTCCACCTTGCTCAGCCAGTCCAGAACCTTGGCGTTTTGTTCGACCCTCAACTATCCTTTCTACCCCACATCTGCGCCATGACCCACTCTGCTTTCCCCACCTCCCCATGTCGCCCGGCTCCGACATTGTCTCACACAGCAGACCGCCGAAACTCTCATATATGCCTCCTTTACATTGAGGCTCGACTCACTGCTTGTCGGCTTCCCCAACTCCTCCCTCCATAGGTTGCAGATCATCCAGAACTCTGCAGTCTGTGTCCTCTCCCGCACTGGTCTCCATGACCTTATCACCCCCATCCTTGCCCAACTCCACTGGCTTCCCATCACACAAAGCATACAGTTCAAGATCCTGGTTCTCATCTTCAAAACCCTCCATGGTCTTGCTCCCTCCTACCTCTCTGACCTCCTAATCCCTACCATCCTGTTTGCTCCCTCCACTCAGCGGGCTCTGGCCTGCTTCACATCCCCGCCTTGCTCGCCCCACTTTCGAGGGGTGGGCCTTCCAGCTCGGGTCCGTAACTGTCCAGCGCCTTAGGACATCCTCCCGATGTGAAAGGCGCTATATAAATGTAATTTTGTTGTTATTAATCAGTTCCATGATGGAGTTTCAAACCCCATGTCAGAACTTTGAGCTTATAGTCTAAGATGACACTCCAATGACGTGCCTATGGCGTTCTGCATTGTTGGAGTTGTTGTGCTTCGGTTGACATGTTAAACTGAAGTTCAGATAGTTGTTAAAGATGTTATGACGTTATTTGAAAAGAAAAGGTAATTTCTTCCAGTGTCCTGGCCATCATCTCCTCAATAAAAGTACAGTAAATTATAGCAACAGTATTGTACTAAAACAATTTTTTGGGGCCAAAATGGTGTATGCGAACATCCCCTTGTCAGTGGAGAAGCTCTTATGAGAATAAAAGTATTGGTTGCAAACAAGGTTTCAGGCAAGGTCTCACGTTTGCCTGCACTTTGGGGAGTTATGTCTGTTTTAGATTCCAGAAAGCTGAAAATTAAGTTCTCCCCAATTTCACAGTAAATGGCAGCAAACTACCAATAAAACTATTAATAAAAATGTTTTCTTAACTAACCGCTTACCAGAGATTTATTCTACTAATCCATTACTCTGAGGAGGAAGAAAGAAAGATTCTTTTTGATGTTTAATCTTCCTTGAGGCATGTTAATTCTGATTGAAACTTTTCACAAACTGTTTAGACACATAGAAGAGGAAATTAGACTTTTGACATACTTGCACAACTGGTAAGACAAGAAAATACGTAAACATGCCAACAAGTAGTTCTGCAGATACTCTTCTGCTCCATTTGGTTTAGAAACTTTCCAGGTCTTGAGGTCTCTGATGCCTGGGATCCTCTGAGGTTTACTTTACATCACAGATTCCAAGCAGTGATGACAATACAGAAATCACTGCGTGTGTACAAATTCACACTGTTGCTATGTCACAACTATTTTATGTTGTGGTTATTTCATCTCTACTAATTGTCTGTTCTCCTATAGTTTAACCATAAAAGCATGTTAATAGCATGTTGATTTTGCACTCGTCTCACAAAGCGACAGGATCTGGGTTTGATTCCCAAGTGGGGTGAAATCTTAGGCAAGTTTTCTTACTCCACACGCCTATGTTTACCTAGCAGTAAGTAGGAACCTGGTTGTTAGTCGATTAGTGAATCGCTTTCTGGAGGTCATAATCCCTCCAAAAGATAATAACAATTTTGTCATTCAATCTACGACCGCTGTGTGCAATTGGCTGCTGCATTTTGCCCACAACATATACAGACACTTTATAGCATATTCTGTGAAGTGTTTTGAGACGTCTCAACGATGTGATAAGGTACTAGATCAAATGCAAGGATTATTAGTATTAGACAGCAACCAAAGCCACAGTGTTTGCCTTTTGAGATAGGATGAATCCTTACATTTTGGTATACCGCCTTTCACTTCAGGAAGACGTCTCAAAACGCTTCACACGATATGCAGTAATGGTGCTGTGTAAAGGGTGAACGTACCCCCAAGCAGAAAATATGGAGGGCACTCTGCAATAGCCAATTATATATTTATATATTGGAACATAGGCACAAGAGTAGACCATTCAACCCCTTGAGCCTGTTCCACCATTCTAGCTTAGATCATGGCTGATCTGTACCTCAACTTTGATTATCTACCCTCGCCCCATATTCCTTGATACCCTTACCTAACAAAATTCTATCCATCTCAGTCTTGAAAATTTGTATGGATCCGGCATCAACAGCAATTTTGGGAAGAGAGTTCAAGATTTCCACTACAATTTGTGTGGAAAAAATGCCTCCTGATTTCACTCCTAAATGGCTTAGCTTTAATTTTAAGATTATGCCCCTTTATTCTGGATTTCCTACCAGAGGAAATAGGTTCTTTGTAGTTACCCTATTAATAATAGCATATTAGTAATATTAATACCCTATTAATAGCCTTTAGAGATTGAATAGAGCCACATCCTGGAGGTAGTACTAACCATCAGTACAGACACCAGGGTTTCACTTTAAATAAAGTACTTGTTAAAAATAACTTCATTTGATATATTCTCTTATGTCAAAGCACTTCCCACACAGAGTTGCTTTAAATTGCTGTGATTGTTATGTAGACATGTAGCTACAACAACAAAATTACATTTGTATAGCGCCTTTCACGTCAGGAGGGCATCCCAAGGCGCTGGACAGTCAGAGTTTCAGACCCTAGCTGGAGGGCAGGGAGGGAAGCAGGCTGATCGAAAGCAGTCGAAGAGCAGGGTCTTGAAGGAGGCAAGGGAGGGGTTGAGGCAGAGGGACTGTGGGATGGAGTTCCAGAGGGTAGGTGCAGAGTGAGGCAGGGGACATGAAGCAGGCCCGAGCCCGCTGAGTGGAGGGAGCGAGCAGGATGTTAGGGGGTTAGGAGGTTGCAGAGATAGGGGGCATGAAGGGCTTTGAAGATGAGGACCAGGATGTGGAACTGTATCCTCTGTGTGATGGGAAGCCAGTGGAGTCAGGCCAGGATGGGGGGGTGATAGGAGGGAGGAGGGAGAGGCCGACAAGCAAGGAGTTTGCATAGTCAAGGCTCGATATAATGAATGCATGTATGAGGGTTTCGGCGGTCTGCAGTGTGAGACAGTGGCGGAGCGAGGTGATGTTGGGGAGGTGGGGTGAGGCAGAGCGGGTCATGGCACGGATGTGGGGTGAAAAGGATAGTTGAGGGTCAAACAAGACACCAAGGTTCCAGACTGGCTTAGTAAGGTCGAGTGTGCAACCATGGATGGTGATGCTGTCAGCGCCTGAGGTGTGGAGGCACTGACGGGAGCCAATCAGGAGAGCCTCGGTCTTGTTGATGTTCAACTAAAGAAAATTAGCTCTTATCCAGAACTTGATGTCTGACAGACATTCTGTCAGGGCTGCAGTGGTCCTGGAGTCAAGGGTTGAGGCAGAGAGGTACAGTTGGGTGTCATCCTCATACATGTGGAAGTTGACCCCATGTCTGCGGATGATGTCACCAGGAGGGAGCATATAGATATTGAAGAGGAGGGGACCAAGGACAGAACCCTGAGGAACTCCATATGAGATGGTGCAGGGTCTAGAGGAGAAACGGTTTGTGAAGATGAAGTGGAGGTGGTGTGAGAGGTACAATCTGAACCAGTCAAGGATAGAACCGTGAAGGTTGAGGTGAGAGGAGAGGCAGTGAATGAGTGTGGTCAACAGTGTCGAAGGCAGCAGAGAGGTCAAGGAGGACGAGGAGGCAGAGGGAGCCCTGGTCGCAGATGGACAAAATATCATTTGTCACTTTGGCCAGGCCTGTTTCTCTGCTGTGGGCAGCACGGAAACCCGAATGGAGGGGTTTGTGAAGGGAGTGGCGGGAGAGGAAGGAGCGAAGCTGGGAAGCACCAACTCGTTCCAGGACCTTGGAGAGGAAAGAGAGGTTGGAGATGGGGCGGTAATTTGAGAGCACAGATGGGTCCAGGGAGGATTTTTTAAGGATAGGCTGTTTTTAATGGGGTGGGAACAGTACCAGTGGACAGGGAGAGCTTTATGATGTCTGTGAGTAGAGGGGCATGGAGGTGAAGCTAGGAGGTAAGGAGTGGGGTAGGGATGGGGTTGAGGGAGCAGGTGGATGGTTTCATGCGAGTTATAGTGGTGGCGAGGGAGGAGTGGGTGACAGGTTCGAAGGTGTGGAGGGAGGGATGGGTAGGGGATGGGAGGGGGAGATGGGAAGGGTGTAGTAGATGGAAGGCCAAAGGCAGCTGATCGGATCCCCTCGACTTTGTGTTCAAGGAAGTCACAGTTGGCATTGGAGGTGAGGATGGGTGAGGCGTGAGAGGATGGTTGATCATCGGAATCAAAATTTCTCACAAACAGCAATTTGACTGATGTCCAATTGATCTGGTTTGACTGAGCAAGTATTATTGGCCCAGACATTTTCCTGTTCTCTCAAATCATGGCATAGAATCTGAAACATCTGAGCCACAGACCAGCACCCAGGACCTTGGGTTGTATTACTACATTGGAAGGATAGCAGCAAGGCAGCATTTTTCAGTGCTGGTTTATGATCTCAATTCCGGGCTGGTGGGTGTGGGGAAAGAGTCTTGGACCCATAATACTGATCCAGAGGGAAGAGTTCTACCAACTGACCAAAAAAATGTTGGAAAACAGTTGTAAATAACGTAATGTTCAGATGTAAGCATATCTCCTATTCCACTCAAGGTAAAATGTCCTGAATATTATGGTTATTTCATCTCTGCTGATTGTGCTCTTATAGTTTAACCACAAATGCATGTTAATAGTAAAAAAAAGATTGCTGTACAGTATTATGATTGCTATTATATTCAGTTAATGCTTTACTTGTAGGTGCTTGTGAGGGAACTTTGTCATGCTCTACCTGTCACCTGATATTTGAAGACGATATCTTCAAGAAACTGGAACCCATCGTAGACGAAGAAATGGATATGTTGGATCTAGCCTTTGGTCTCACTGATACGTAAGACAGTATAATTGTTTTGCATTGAATATGAGTACAGTGTTAAAGCACATTGTTTGTACAATAATAATAAATAACTACTCGTGCGGATAAAAGTAGAGTGCATAAGTTGCGAGTGGATCTTATGTTTAAGAACTCTTTGAGTTAAATGATTATAGATTCAAAAGCACGTCAGGACTTGAGCTCAGTCTAAGATGACACTCCATTACAGTACTGGGGGAGCACAGGATTTTCTGAGTCACCGTTGTTCAGATGAGTATAAAACCATGGTTCCAACTGGCTGTTCAGGTTGATGTTAAAGATCTCCTGGTTCTATTCGGAAAGTGCAGAGAGTCTCTCCTCGGCTAACAATGCATTTGAACAGTTGGTGTGACAAATCGCTTCCGCAGTTGCCTACAAACACTGTCACTACCGATCGGTCATTTGGTCTCCAAAGCATTTGGCATCCTATATTAGTAAAATCCCTATTCTTGAAATATATTGACTTGATCAACAAATGCACAAAAATGTTTACATATTTGAATGTTTTCAGCAGGAGTATAAAAGTTAGTCAATTTCCCCAGGCCAGTTCTGCTACAGAAGTTGCATCACTACTCTTGTTTGGTGTTGCTGTAATGTGGCAGGTACATAAATAATAAATTTGATATAGCCCCTTTCACATTAGCGTCTTTCAAGTGCTTCACAGGAGAATGAGTTCTGCTTAGCTCAGCATGAAACATTTGTCATATTTATAATATTCTAATATATAATATTCTAATATATAATATAATATATAATATATTATATATTATATATTGTATTATATTAATATTAATAATATTAATAATATAATATATATAATATAATAATATAATATTATATTAACTAATATTATATTATATTAACTAATATATTATATTATATTAATTATATTATATTATTATTATATTATATATTATATTCTAATATATAATATATAATATATAATATAATAATATAATAATATAATATTCTAATAAGAATTAGGAGCAGGAGTAGGCCATTCAGCCCCTCGAGCCTGCCCCGCCATTTGATAAGACCATAGCTGATCTTCAGACCTAACTCTAATTACCTGCCCTATCCCCATATCCCCTAATCCCTCTATTTTTAAAAATCTATCAATCTCAGCCTTGAAGATGTTCCAAGGACTGAGCATCTACAGCCTTCTGGGGTAGTGAATTCCATAAATTCACTACCCTCTGAGTGAAGAAATGTTTCCTCAACTCTGTTCTAAAAGGCTGTCCCTTAATTTTAAGACTATGACCCCTGGTTATAGATTCTCCTACCAGGGGAAACAGACCCTCGGTGTCTACTTTATCCAGCCCTTTAAGAATCTTATATGTTTCAATAAGATCTCCCCTAAATCTTCTGTACTCTAGAGAATATAGCCCTAGTTTATTCAGCCTATCCTCATAGGTCAGTCCCCTCATCCCAGGAACTAACCTAATGAATCTATCACCCCCTCCAGGGCAAGTATGTCCTATTTTAAATAAGGACACCAAAACTGCACACAATACTCTAGGTGCGGTCTCACCAAGGCCCTATACAGTTGCAGCAAGACTTCCCTGCTCTTGTACTCTAAACCTTTTGCAATGAACGCTAACATGCTGTTCGCCTTATTAGTTGCTTGCTGCACCTGCAAACTAACTTTTTGAGACTGGTGTACAAGGACACCCAAATCCCTCTGAACACTAACACAATCTAATCTCTCCCCCTCTAGAAAATAATCTGTTTTTCTATTTTTTCTACCTAGGTGAATAACTTCACACTTCCCTACATTAAATTCCATCTGCCACCTACTCGCCCACTCCCCGAGCCTATCTATATCCCGTTGCAATCTTTTTGCATCATCCTCAGAGCTTACTCTCCCACCTAGTTTAGTGTCATCCACGAATTTAGATACGTTACATTCAATGTCCTCGTCCAGATCATTGATATAAATTGTAAATAGCTGAGGCCCAAGCACTGATCCTTGTGGCACTCCACTAGTCACATCCTGCCAATTCGAGAATGACCCGTTTTTCCCTACTCTCTGTTTTCTACCCGTTAGCCACTCTTCAATCCATGCTAATATGTTCCCATTAATCCCGTGGGCCTTAACCTTGTGCAATAGCCTTTTGTGTGGCACTTTGTCAAATGCCTTTTTAAAATCTAAATATACTACATCTACTGGTTCCCCCCTATCTAACCTGCTAGATACATCTTCAAAAAACTCTAAAAGATTAGTTAAGCATGACTTCCCTTTTGTAAAGCCATGTTGACTCTGCCTAATCTTGTTATGGTCTTCCAGGAATCCCATAACGACATCTTTAATTAAGGACTCAAGAATTTTCCCTACCACTGATGTCAGACTAACTGGTCTATAGTTCCCCATCTTTTCTCTCCCACCCTTCTTAAATAGTGGTGTTACATTTGCAATCTTCCAATCAATGGGAACCGTTCCAGAATCCAGAGAATTTTGGAAGATCAAAGACAAGCCATCCACTATCTCAGTAGCCACCTCTTTTAAAACCCTAGGATGTAGGCCATCAGGTCCAGGAGATTTATCAGTTTTAAGACCTGACAATTTACCTAAAACCATTTATTTATTAATATCAATTCCCCCAAGTTGCTCGCTAACATTGTCTTCTTGGTTCCCCTCTATTCTTGGTAGGTTTTCAGTGTCTTCTAAGGTGAAGACAGGAGCAAAGTACTTGTTTAATGACTCTGCCATGTCTTTGTCCCCTACTATAATTCCCCCCGTCTCTGCCTGTGGCGGATCCACATTTACCTTTGACAGCCTCTTCCTCTTTATATATTTATAAAAACTCTTGCAGTCTGTCTTTATGTTCTTCGCTAGTTTGCCCTCATGTTCTATTTTCTCCCTCTTAATCACTTTTTTGGTTCTCCTTTGTTGATCCCTAAAGTTCTCCCACTCCTCGGGTTTACTACTCATCTTAGCTGTTTTATAGGCTTCTTCCTTTAACTTTATACCTTCCCTAACTGCTCTAGTTAGCCATGGTGGGCCACCTTTCCCGTGGCATTCTTATTCCTCAAAGGAATACGTGCTCGCTGGGAATTTTGCACTGTCTCCTTAAACGTCTGCCATTGCTGGTCTACTGTCAAATCCTTAAATCTAATTTCCCAGTTTATTCTGGCAAAATCTTCTCTCATACCAGCAAAATTGGCTTTACTTAAATTTAAAACCTTTGCTTCGGACTTAACTACTTCCCTCTCTAACTTAATGCTAAATTCCATCATATTATGATCACTTTGCCCTAGAGGAGCCTTAATTTCCAGTTTGCTGATCAGCCTGCTTCATTGCACAAAATGGGTAGCTATCGTTTTTTAACTCTTGTGGAGAAATACCAGTTTTAAATGATAAAATTAGCATCGAGAATCTCTTTGCACTATTTCTAATACTATTTTATAACAAATTTGCTAATTGAATTTCGAATTAGGTCACTGCAGTTTTTTCCAATAGTTTCCTATGCCTGGAAGTACGTTTTTCAACTGTCAGGAACTGATGGAGTTGCATATGTGTTGCACTTTACTAAGTGTCAATATTGTTTCTGTTATTTTGAATGCAACATTTGTTTTGCTTTCAGTTCTCGTTTGGGCTGCCAGATCTGCATTAAGAAGTGGATGGATGGAATGACTGTAAAAGTACCTCAGGATATCTCTGATGCTAGACAACATATGGACATTGACACAAACTCCTAAATATAAACATGGAAATCCACATATTTTATAGAAAAGTTCATTTTTCTTCAATAATCAAAGTATAATTATGTAGTAAATCAATACAACCAAGCTGAGTATACTGGATACATTGTATGCATTACAAACTAGCTAAATACACCAGATATGTTGATAGATTCTTTTTGTTTTTCTATTTGTTCTTTTGTTCCGTTTTCCAATGTACTGCTTAAACTCTTTACCTGTGGAATTGCTATGCACAACATGTATATTCAAAGAAAATAATGAGTATTGGTTTGTATGAAATGAGAATCGATAAAATTTTAACTATATGTGGATTAGTGACCCTTTAAAGTACTGGAATTTTAGGCTTGTAGATGAAAATACGGTCTTTGCAACCAGTTTCAGCCAAAACATTTTTTGAGAGCACAATCAAATTGTCTACTATAATATATATTTTAGCTGCACTCACATTGTTGAACTTAGAGTACTAGAGACACTTGATAAACTCATAGTTCTTATGAGTATTTTAAGATGTTAAGATTACTTTTCAGTCTCAGAACTTTCAAATTTTTCTATACCATATAAAAATATATTTTACTTAATTATTTAATAAATGATTTAATTGGGAATTTTCATATTTGTATTTTATCCAACTGCATTATACTGTAGAACGTAATGCCATACGTGCCCATATCTGAGATCTATCATCTGTTCATATAGCGCTTTTTTTTCTTTAACCAGGAAAATTATTTTTTAAAAGGAATCATTTTTGTAGCATGATAAATTAATTTGGAAATTCAAGAGTCAACAATCCATTATAGATACCAGTTGACATTATATTCATACCGTTTCAAAGTTTCACTCAATTCCATCAGTGAGACTTGGTGCATAAACTGAACAAACAAATATTTATTTTTCTTATGGCATAAAGTTGCTGTTTGTAATTCTGGTCCTTTCAGAAACTGATTCCCAAATCACAAGTATAATCACTATCTGAAAGTTCATAGTACAGTATTTTAGTTTTTGCCATTGTAATTTTACATTGCAGGAAGAGCTGAGATCTGACCTTGTGCACACAAAGTACCAAACTCTTAAAAATTATTTGAAATTTTTTTTCTCCGCAAAATAACATTTCTTTACTGATTCTTTCCAAAAGCCATGCTGAGTTTAATGCTGTGGGACCAATTAAAAACAAACCGATGCACAATCTTTTCTGAACAGATTCTAAATCATCCATGCCACATTCCTCTTCAGTACAGCAGCATTTCCAAACTACTGGAGATAGTTAAAGGGGAGCAATGTTTTCCTCCTTGCAATCGCCTATCATTCTCTTTCAGATGCTCATTGGTGCGTTTCCAGTTTTCTGTTTCAGAATTCTGTCATTAGTAAGGTGTTTCAGGGTTATTTAACACCGTCTTTGGGGTTGGAGGAGAGACAGAGAAGCAAGATGTTTTAATTTTCAAACTGCTTGTAGACTTGCAATCCTTACATTTGCAACATGCCTCTTATGTTTCATTCTATTCTGAGGAATGTTGTGTGACGATGTGTTAGGTAAATGGGAATAGTGTTGTGCAACCCTTTTCTCCCCATCTCCAGAGATTTGTTGCCCTCTTTGAGAATCATGGCACATATTTTTCACCATCTATTCTCAACAAGTAATCACTTCAACTTGTAATTTTTTTCATGGCTTACATTTTATTCCCCTTTTTTTCTTTAGGCTGTGGCCAGATTGGATGGTGATAATGCTCTCGTACATTTTATTGTTTCAGGATTGCAAGTTCATGATTGATGAATTATACTTACAAAGTGTTCTTGGTACCTGAGATCCACCTAGCAAGGGCTCAAATCTGCATTTGTCGGATGCTTATGTCCAACTAGTGACTATACTCCTTAGGGACATAACTATGGGGTTTCATTGAGGCTGAATCAGCTCAAAGATGAGGTGCATGGTGATAGATTATCAGAATCAATTTGATCGCCTATGTTGGTCTCGGTAGTCCATTTCCCGAACCAGTCAGGTCTAAGTCCTCCCCACATGAAGGATGCTATATAAATGCAAATTGTTGTCTACAAGACAGGATTGATGACATAGCAGCCAAACTGGCTCCAACAGGTCTTGGAGAAACAGACCAATCACAGGGTGTGGTATTATTCCCAGTCAGCTCCTGTTAATTCTGTGTGCCAAAGTCTTAAAGGGTAGGGTGATCCTTGCTGAGCAAACAGCAGGAAGCCTGTCAAGTGTTTTGCAGTGGCAAGCTGCACTGTTTTAGCTTGTTAGTACCTCCATGTACACTCGGGATCCCTAAGCCTTGGCTCTTGCTGTTCTTTGCCTAAATTCTTTGGGATAAGATAAGCAGGAAGAATCCCTCTGGATAGAGTGCACACTCCATACCAGACAAACTATACTTAGTAGTTGGTTAGAAGATTCGTAAGTGGGGTTTCTACATGTGTCAGACACTCAGCTGACCCGAAAAAAATCTTCACTTATCCCTAAAGGTAATGTTTTATCCAAGAGTTAGGTTCACAATTGCTTGGGTGATGAAGGCAAAATCACAACAGAGACAAATCTGGATTGTCCAAAAGTCTGGTATGTATGCTGACTACCACAGTATTACAATCTGACTAGCAAATTGATTGAAAATTATAGCTGCAATTGAAATTGACAGACTTCTGATCAGAAATACTATAATGCGAAAATTGTTTGACACAAGTGTGACCTTTTTGAAAATTGATGCCTACGTTCTAAATTAGGTATGATCGCTTTTCAGCTTCATACCAAATACCAGCTATGTAACTTTCATAACAAATAAAGCATACATTTAATGATACGGATCAGGGTGGTCCAAACTTTTTGGTGTCGAGGGCCGGATTTGTGAGAGATGTCCGCGGGCCCTATTAGCAATATTTTTGTTTTTCTCTTACGTTTCCCAGAAACAAAGAATCCTGTGTTTTAAATTATGTGACTGTATAATAATCCTTGCATTTGATATAGCGTTTTTCACATCTTCTAGACGTCTCAAAGCGCTTCACAGAATATACTGTAAAGTGAATTGACTGTATATTTGTGGGCAAAATGCAACAGCGAATTGCGCACAGCAGTGTCCCACAAACAGTCGTGGATGGAAGTGACCAATTTATTATTGTTTTTTTCTCTTAGATTATTATCAGGAGTGTGGAGTAAGGAAACTTTCCCAAGGTTTCACCCTGCTGGGAATCGAACCCAGGTTTCTCGCTTGTGAGGCGAGTGCTCTAACAACTGAGCTACAGGTCTCCACCAGTATTACTTAATAATGATCATCTCAAATGGAAATAAATGTTTTAATGTGTTGAAGTCAAAACACAAGATATCAACTCAGAACATAGAGGCGCCAACAGAGAATGCTCAACAAACCCAAACAGATTAATTCATAATTGCAAAACTAACAGGAACACATTAATTTAGGAAAAAGATCTTTAGGAATAATTTCTCAGAAATTTTCGTGAATCTCATTCTTCCTTGAACAATGGTTCATCCTGCAGTTTACATATCTCCTTCTGAAGATCTTTTGGTTGCTACTCATTGACACCTCCATCGGATTGTTGAATAATTGGACGCTGGACCTCAGACCCTCAAAATCAGAAAAATCTCTCTGAACTCATCCAATAGGTGTCCAATTGGATGTCCTGTAGCTCAGTGGTTAGAGCAAGTGAGAGACCTGTGTTTGATTCCCGGCAGGGCGAAATGTTGGGCAAGTTTCCTTACTCCATAGGCCTCTGTAAGTAGGAACCCGGTTCTTAGTTGATTGGCAGATCACTTTTCCAGGGGTAATAATTCCGTTTTAAAAAATATATATATTTTTTTAATTGGTCAATTCCATCCATGACTGTTTGTGGGACACTGTTGTGTGCAATTTGCTGCTGTGTTTCGTCCACAAAATATACAGTCAATTCACTTTACTGTATATTCTGTATTCTTTGAGGTGTCTCGAAGACAGGATAAGGCCCTGTATCAAATGCAAGGAATATTATTATTATTATAGTAGCTATATTATGTTTCTGAAAAGCTGCAAAAATCAGCCTCATCAAGCTCAGTTGCAAGTTCCATGCATGATGGAAAATGGGTGAGGTTGTTCTGCAAGAGTGATGAGTTCAACAGTTATAGGTTTATGTAGAACCAGTAAACAATCCCCATAAGGTTCGAAAAAATCTGATTTCTGCCCTGTAGCGGAAGATTGAGAAAGTTGAGATAGCTTATTATATCTGTTAAGAAAGCCGATGCACATAGATAGGTAAGTTGGTTCTTCCAATTCCTCTTCAAACTGCGATGTTGGTCTTTACTTGAGAAATGAAAGTTACCTCCTTCCTAAGTGCATAAAACTGCACAAAGCAGTTGCGCGCACTCAGCCGACACACTTCTGAATAAAAAGGTAAATAGAAACAAAAGTAGGCTATTCAGCCCCTCGAGCCTGTTCAACTATTATAAGATCGTGGGTGATCTGTACCTCAAGTCCAATTACCCGCCCTTGCTTCATATCAATTAATATCCTGACCCAACAAATATCTGTCTGCCTCTGTCTTGAAAATGTGAATGTATCCAGCTTCCACAGCCATTTGGGGGACAGGGTTCCAGATTTCCACTACCCTATGGATGAAAAACTGCCTCCTGATTTCACTAGTAAATGGCCTAGCTCTGATTTTAATATAATGTTTCCTTATTCTGGATTCCCCTACCAGAGGAAATAGTTTCTCTGTATCTACCCTATCTAATCCCTTTATTATTTTCAAAACCTCAATCAGATCACCCCTCAACCTTCTAAACTCAGGGGAATAGAGACCAAGTTTATAAATAATAATAATAATCCTTGCATTTGATATAGCGCTTTTTCACGTCTTCTAGATGTCTCAAAGCGCTTCACAGAATATACTGTAAAGTGAATTGACTGTATATTTGTGGGTGAAATGCAACCTGTCCTCATAATTTAACCCTTTAAGTCCTGGTATAATTCTGGTGAATCTGCACTGCATCCCCTCCAGAGCCAATATATCCTCGTGGAGTCCTGTAGCTCAGTGGTTAGAGCACTCGCTTTGCAAGCGAGAGACCTGAGTTCAATTCCAGGCAGAGGGCGAAACCTTGGGCAAGTTTCCTTACTCCACACGCCTAATAATAATCCCTCCAAAAAAAAACAAAACAATAATAAATTGGTCATTTTCAATCTACGACTGTTTGTGGGACATTGCTGTGCGCAATTGGCTGCCGCGTTCGCCCACAAATATACAGTCAATTCACTTTACAGTATATTCTGTGAAGCGCTTTGGGACGTCCTCCCGACGTGAAAAGCGCTATATCAAATGCAAGGATTATTATTATTATTATTATCCTTCCTGAGGTGTGGTGCCCAAAACTGACCGCAGTACTCCAGATGGGTCTGACCAAAGATCGTTGAAGCTTCCCTATATAGTTGAAGCATCATTTCCTCTCTATATTCCAGCCTCCTTGACATAAATACCAACATCCCATTAGCCTTTTTGATAAGGCCGGATATAAAGGACAAAAATAAGGAATAAGGAGAACATAAATGGTCAGGGTATTAATATAATTCTAGATCAGAAGTATGAAAAGACTGTCAAAAATAAAGGAACACCTAATAAAAACTAATTAAACTACAGCAATGTACACAGCATTCAAATTAAAATAGAACTGGAGGCAATAATTTGTAGTGAGGAACCATATATAGTAGGGATTACTGAAACATGGCTACAGAATGAAACTTGCGAAAATAAACTGGAAAAAAATATTGGCAAACAAATATACAGCAACAGTGGGAACAATTTTAAATTGTGATTAATAGAGTCCAGGAGAAATAAAAAAAACAAGATAATGCTAAACAATAATGAGACACTGGATGAATAAAGACATAAGGGCAAAGTTGAGGAGGAGGAAAGAGGTGTTCACTAAGTACATAAACCACAAGGGAGATCATAACAAAAAAAGGTTAGGAAAGACGTCAAAAAACAATTAGGAAGGCAAAGAGGAAAGATGAAATTAAATTATCAAGGAATATAAAAAGAAATAGTAAAATGTTCTACAGACATACAAATAACAAAAAGAAAAATCAAAAAAAGGAATAGGGCCACTAAGGGATGCACAGGATAAGCTCACAGGCAGCGACAGCGAAATGGCAGAAATATTGAACAGTGACTTTGCCTCAATATTTATCAGGGAGGTGGATCAGGTGGGCATGACAGTAGAAGAGATCAAAAATTATATAAATACATTTAAGATAAAAGGGGGGAGACAGCCGATAACGAAACTCAGGCAGGATAAAAGCCCTTTTCCGGATGGATTGAATTGCATATATTAAAAGCATCTAGGGAAGAGATAGCAGAGGCACTATTATACACACATATATAATAATTCATTAGAAAAGGGCGTAGTGCCAGAGGACTAGAGAATAGCTAATGTTATACCTATATTTAAAAAAGGAGATAGAACAATCTTAGGGAAGTATCGACCTGTCCGCTTAACATCAGTGGTAGTAAAGATAATGGAATCATTACTAAAAGAGGTAATAGAAAAACATCCAGAAACCGAAAATATAATAAAGAATACTCAGCACGGATTTCAAAAAGGAAGGTCATGCTTGACAACCTCATTGAATTCATTGAAGAGGTAACAGAAAGAGTAGACAAGTGTAATGCAGTAGATGTAATATATTTGGAGTTCCAAAAGGCATTCGATAAGGTACCACATAATAGACTAATGAATAAGGTCAGAGCATGTGGTGTCAGGGGAAAAGTAACAAAATGCAAGCTGTTTGCAAAACAGAAAACAGTAGGGGTAAAGGGTAGCTACTCAGACTGGCAGAGGGTGGGAAGTGGTGTTTCACAAGGATCGATATTGGGACCACTGGTGGTCATAATTTATATAACGATTTGGACTCGGGGATCAAAAGTACAATTTCACAATTTGTGGATGACACCAAATTGGGGGCTGTAGTTAATACTGAGAAGGACTGCAACAAATTACAAGACATTAATAATCTTGCTGAATGGACATTTAATTGGCAAATGAATTTCAATATACCTCAAATGTGAGGTGGTACATTTTGGTAGGAGGAATAAGGAGGTCACATACTGTCTGGAAAATAAGAATCCAAATGGGGTAGAGGAGCAAAGGGATCTATGGTACAGATACACAAATGGCTAAAAGTAGCGATGCAGGTTAATAAGGCCATAAAAAAAACAAACCAGGGTTCATTTCTAGAGCGATAGAAATGAAAAGCAGAGAAGTAATGCTAAATTTATATTGAACCTTAATTAGACCAGACTTGGAGTACTGTGTACATTTCTGGTCTCCATATTATAGGAAGGACATAGAGGCACTGGAGAAGGTGCAAAGGAGATTTATAAGGATGATACCAAAACTGTGAGGTTATACTTATCAGGAATGGCTGAACAAGCTTGGACTCTTGAAAAGAGAAGGATGAGGGGTGACCTAATAGAAGTCTTTAAAATGATGAAAAGTTTTGTTAGGGTAGACATAAAGAAGATGTTTCCACTTGTGGGGGAGAGCAAAACCAGGGGCAATAAATATAAAATAGTCATAATAAATCAAATAGGGAAGTCAGAAGAAACTTCTTTATTCTGAGATTGGTGGGAATGTGGAACTTGCTACCACAAGGAGTAGTTGAGGCGAATGGCATAGATGCATTTAAGGGGAAGCTAGATAAGTACATGAGGGAGAAAGGAATAGAAGGTTATTGTTGATAGGGTTAGTTGAGGGAGGGCAGGAGGAGGCTCATGTGGAGCATAAACGCCGGCACAGACCAATTGGGCCGATTTAGAAAAT